TGCATGTATTATGTTTCAAATTTAGAATGTAGTTTTACATGTGGAAATGGTCATTGATTCTTGGTTGTACATTTTCTAATAAAGGTGATGGTGCTGACATGCTGTGGGCTCTGGTGCAGTTGAACATAGAGACCTTTTTATTCATTAGAAGTGACTACGCTGCCTTTGTCTATATGTATGCTTGGTTAAATATATATATTGAGATTGTCCTCACAACAATTTCTAGTCATAGATATTGTCTCTTGATCACCAAGGCATTTATTTAAACAAAAACAAAAATACAGTGAAATACAGTAATATTGTGAAATATTATTACAATCTTAACTGTTTTGTATTTTAGTATATTTTAAAATGTAATTTATTGATGACAAAGCTAAATCTTCAGCATCATTACTCCAGTCTTCAGTGTCTCATGATCCAGAAATCGTTCTAATATATGCTTATTTGCTGCTCAAGAAACATTTTTCTTTATTATCTATGTTTAAAGCATTATAGTGCTGTTGTGCTGTTGAAAAGGCATTTATTTAAAATATAAATCTGATCATCTCAAATGACTCCAAGGGCCCTATCTTGCACTCGGCGCAAATGACTTTGTACACTGACGCATGTATCATTCCTATTTTGCACCCGCGCAAAGCGGGTTTTTCCCTCCACAGACGCACGTCGGTTAACTAAGAAATACACTTGCGCTCCCCGGGGCGGTTCAGCGCAAAGAGGAGGCGTGTTCCGGCGCAAACTTTCCCTCATGCTATTTTGCTGTTCTATAAAACAATTGCGCCACTGACCAGAAAAAAATAGTCTAAAGTCAGTGGTGCGTTGCGCGTTGTTCATTATGCTATTTTAAGGGCGCATGCTTGGCCATAATCAATGTAGCGTGTGCACAACGCGCATACACGTTGATTCTCTCATCTAAGCAGCAGTTTTCATTTCTGCAAATCATACATTATTACGATAGATAGATAGATAGATAGATAGATAGATAGATAGATAGATAGATAGATAGATAGATAGATAGATAGATAGATAGATAGATAGATAGATAGATAGATAGATAGATAGATAGATAGATAGATAGATAGATAGATAGATAGAAAGAAAGACAATTTATTATAAAAGCATGTAGCTTACACATTTACCCAAATTATCATACGCCTGTTTAACAGAAGTTAATTTGGGTGGGTTTCTCCATCCCCAATGTCACTTCTCTGACGAGAACGCTGCTCTCCTCGGCTGTGAACCTCCGCGCCTGGCAAATCCGCCGTTATAATAGGAATCCGCTTTAGAACAAGCGCACCTGCTCTTAAAGGGAATGTGAGATGACGCTCTGATTGGTTTATTTCACGTTACGCCCAAACCACACCTATGAATAATGAAGCTACTTCAGGCCAACCCCTTTTAGATTTGCGCCAGGCGCAAGAGGCATTTATCCCGCCGGGAAAATAGCAACAGCGCCGGGATCCGCCCACAAAGTTACTTGCGCTTTACGCTTTGACACTTGCGTTTCAGATCGTTAAAATAGGGCCCCAAGTCATGGTTGTTCATTGGTCAAAAGGTGTGCAAACCTTGATTGTTACATAATATGTATTTCTATACCACTTGGACATGATAATCCTTCAAGTCACCATGTGTGCATTTTCAATCTTGGTGAGGGACTGTCTCTTTAATGGGGTGTCTCATAGAGGTTCCTTGGGCTCTCTGGTGCAGCTGCAGGCTGAGACTTTCACATTCATTACTTAAAAATGCCTAAAATACTTCTGCAGAGTATCTCAGACCCTGTATTATTATAAATGTTTAATTAGAATTACTCATACCTAGTTACACAAAATATTATGCAACAAAAGCATTGTTCTTCTTCTTTTATGTGTGTGTTTGTGTGGCATTAAGATATTGGGTTTGTGCCTTATCTATAGTATATTTTTTTATCTCATACATGAATTTGTTTTATTCTCTACACGTGTACTACTGATGTGTATCCTTGTGTTTTCTGTGTGCGATTAGCCATGTTCATCTGAGCGTGATGTCGTCACTGTTCTCCTCTGTTCTCTGCAGTTACGTCACATCTCCATAGTAACTTCCTGCCTCCCCCCGCCGCATGTGTGTGTGCAGTGTGCATTCTGGCTCGCTGCACAGGTAATGCCATTTCTGTGCAGCGTGTCAGAGAGAAACACAATATTTCCAATGAAGCTTGCACAATGAGCCAGAGCTTTGCTCACTCTAATGGAGCTACTACTTTCCTCTCTAACACGTGTTTGTGGATGGAATCTGCATGGTTAATTACTTAGCCACTTTGTTGCATTTTTGCCCAGGAGAGTGAAAAATAAAGACTGGGGGCAAATTCAATAAACAGTAGGACCATTTTGCCGAGCAAAAACCACACATGCCATATTCATTAATCACCAACAGTCCCGTTTACCAGGTTCTAAATGTAATAAGTTAGGGTTGTACCATATTTTAAACCTTCATCTTTCTTGATCATTCAGCATTATAAGATAAATCACATTTGAGTAACAAACAATATCGAGTCTATCCCCGAAGTACAATAAGCGTATCGTTTCGTATCGTCAGAACACTCGTTTAAACAGCATACACAAGGGACATTTGATGGGGGACATTATTGACATTATTGAAACTGCTTGCAATAGTAATGCAACAGACCGGTCTACCGGTCTATTAAGCCTGGGGCAGTTGTGGCCTAATGATAAGAGAGTCAGACTTGTAACCCGAAGGTTGGGTAGTGACAGAGGTGCCACCTAACTCCCAATCGCTCTCGGGGCGCCACAGCAAAATGGTTGCCCACTGCTCCAGGTGTGTGTGTCCAAGGTTTGCAGTGTGTGTGTTCACCACTCACTGTTCCTTATGTGTGTGCACTAACTTGGATGGGTTAAATGCAGAGGACAAATTCCAAATATTGCCCTTCATGTCACTTCTTTTTTTTCTTTTTTAAATAAAAAGGTTATTGAGCTGTTTACACTGTTATATACAATAAAACAGCCTGCACAGCGACAGGAAATAAAAATTAAACACCGCAACGTTCACAATATGACGTCACACTCCGTGCGTATGTTTTAAAAAACCATAGCCTACTTTAACAAATAAATAACACTTTTTTAATAGCCCACTTAAAGTTTTTATTACAAATATATTACTAAATGCTACAAATGAATAAATGTAAATGAACAAACATTTGCGTTGCATTTACAATCCTGTGAAAACAGGAGGTACTGCACCCTACTTCCTGCGCTTCTGAGTCAGTTTAGATCATGTGAGCACATTTGTGCCACTACCTAATTTACATAATTCCTTTAGTGAATCACGTGCTAAAACAACTATTGTGTAGTTGTTTTATATAAACAACTATTCACAACTGTTCAAATAAGCAGATCAATTCATTCTTAGTGAATTTCCCCCAGAAAAATGTAGGGATTGGAGATGGAACAGGCTGTGTGGCTCAGTTTTGTATTTAGCTTGCTCATCTCTCATGTCCCAGACAGATCGCTGCTGTCTCTTTACTATGAGGAAGACACTAAGGTGTCACATTTCCCAAAAGTGTCACATTTTCCAAAAGTGTCGCAACCGTCTTCACTTCACTACACGATTTTTTTTTACATCTCAGGGGGTGATGAATTATGAAACAGTTTTTCCTAGGAATGTCAGTTCCTGGATCAGGTTTTTTTCTCAGTTTTTTTTTGTTGATGAAGACAAACTCAAGTTTCCTATCAGTGTCGAAGAAGAAGAACAGGGTGTTCTGACACTCTTAACCAGATCCCAGTTCTGTATCACTGTATCACATCACAATGTCAAAATGCGTCACGTCATAATGCACCACGCAGCCCCGAAGCCCCATCTTGAGTGCTGTTTTTTTAATAAATATAGAGGTTTTATTTATAGCGACTGTAGCGGTAAGTGGAGGCCAATGCTCTGAAAAGAGTTGCTCAGGAAGACGGTTTAGCGGAGTGGAGTAAGGGCAGAGGCGCTTGAGGACAGAGCGACCCAGATGACAGTGCTGCCAGAATAATCACCCCCTCCCAGACAAGCCCGGACCGAAGCGGTGCTGCAGGAGCGTTCGCCACGTGATGTCATTTTTATTACGCCTCGGCCTCACTCCGCACCACAGACGGCCCTCATGAATATTCTCCAAATGACTTTCGGGGCTCTGTTGCTCACAGTAACACAAATGAGAAGCGGAGCCTGTGAGATTTTAACAGTATGTAACATTCCGGCTCGCTGTGTCCCTGTGAATGCGGTGTGAATAGGAGATATCACAGTAATACTGGGCTGAAATAGACAAACCTGCACAAAACAACACTGCAAGGAGCCCAACTTAGATCAGTGACTCTGAGACTCAGCTGCGTTCTGGATTTTAGTTTGTATTAGAAGTTTGGCTAAAAATAGATGGGAAAAAATGTGCAATTCTCACTTTGACATGCAGGGCCAATGCATTTCCAACGGGCATCAGTAATTTGTGGACACTCACAGATTAAGAATGGAAGAGGGGTGACTGACTTTTCCGTGTGAATGTATGTATTGTGTATTTGTGCTGTCAAAATTACATCCAGTACACAAACTTATCTGCCTTCTCTTTCTTATTGAAGTTATTTGCTGAAAGTTTAAGTGAATCCCAGACAATTGCTTAGCTACACAATCACCATAGTTATCACTCAGCATTTGCAAGGTGTGGCTTTACGTTTGCTAAGGAACATGTTTAGATCAGACTTAATCAGGATAATGTTCTTCAGTATGAGGAAAAGCTCTGCAACATATATTAATACTTTTATTCAGCAAGGACACATTATTGATCAAAAGTAGCAGTAAACATTGCTTAATAATTGCTTTTTGTGTGTAATGTATTGGTTATTTTAGTAAGTTTTGCATGAGGATTGTCATTTTGGAGGGTTCGTGTCAAATATGACAATTTGTCAAATGTTTTACGACCCAAATACATCTGCTGTAGGTGAATCTAGCCATGGTTAATAGAAATGCTTTTCCTGTGTGTTTTGCAGGTTATAGCCTCTCCAGTCTCTCAGCTGAAGACAGTGAGAAGTGGGAGAGTCGCAGGCTGCTGCAGGACTTTGACATTGACAGCAACTACACTGATGCGGTGCAGGTTGGGCCCAATGCTGAAAAGAACTGCACACCGCCTGGTAAGAGGTTTAGCACCACACACACATAAATCCTCACACAATCTACCTGCTCTTCGAGTTCAACAGAGCAGATGAAATAGGAAGATGATTGTTTTTTTGTAGGGAACTTAGCATGACAGATGACTAATGTCACTATTAACTGGAAACAACATCACAATGTGATTAAGCAAGAAGTCGTGCAAAGTTTCACTTCTGAAATAGTTTTTTGATGGTAGCATTCCCACATCGGGATGTGTATCAGACTTCAATGAACCTCGCAATCAAGTGATGCTTTTTAAAATGAAATATTCTCATGTCTCTTGTTTGTTCTCCACTGATTTGTGAGTTCACAAAGGTGTTAGTCCTGTATGAGGACTTTCCTGTCATCAGTAACTCAGACACTAACCCTTTTGTTGCGTTCTGAGTGAGTAATCTTGCTGACACAGACTTTGCTATTGTTTCTTTTGGGGATCGCTGCAGGCTAGGGAACATAAAGTGTATTTCAAACTTTAGACCCCTGTGAGCCATGGCCAGGACAAAGGTTAAACATGGATTTCTGGCCAAGTTGAAGACCAGACATGTCAACTAATTAAGACATTAACCTCTACAAATGGGGTCTAGGAAAGTAAAGCTGCGCTAAGAAAAGTCATTGTCCAAATGTAATAGAACTCTATCAGCTGCTATGGCTGAGTTTGATTTGCAATTTGGTTGATGTCTGTACAAGATCTCACGGTAAACATATTCACACCTACTTTTAATTTCTGACAGAATTAGTATAAACAATTTGACGTTTCCAATCTGTTCCTCATTATTTTTCCTCATTGTTATTCATTGTTTATTTGCACAGTTGGTGTAGATCTGCTGTGTAATTTGATTCACGAGACTACATTGTGCTCCACACTCTTGGACAATGTGAAGAGGCCAATTAGAACAGGTTTGAGGGAAAGGCAAGGCTGAACAAAGGGGTCTTCGATACTCTGTGGGTCTATTGATTGACCGTCTCCCTCTTCTTTCAAAGCCCTCCTCTTTTCCCCCTGCAATCCGTTTACCATAGACGGGGATCTACTACAGCACCCTGTTAGTATCTAATTCCATTTCATTACTCAGTTTGTTTGTTGCTCAGGAACTTTTTGCATATTCATATAGTCAGACTTTTCTATTTTATACATGTTCTATATAGTGGCCCCAAAAAGTATTTGGATAACAGCCAGACTTAAAAATGTATGAATGTCTTTATATAACTAAATATCAAACCCACGGGCATTACAAATATTTCACAGACCTACGGGCAAACAAATACTGCACAGACCGCAATAGCAAAATATTTCACAAAATTAAGTGTGAAACTAGAAACCAGTTTGATTTTGAATTATATAAAATAACAGACATGACTATCGTTCAAAGTTTTGGGGTTGGTACAATTATATTTACTGCATTTAAAAGAAGTCGTATGTTCATCAAGGGTGCATTTATAATCAATAATACAGTAAAAACTGTTGTGAAATATAACTGTTTTCTATTTTTTGAATATATGTAATTTAATCATGTGATGGCAAAGCTGAATTTTTTTAGCATATATCAATTCAGTCTTCAATGTCACATGATGCTTCAGAAATCATTCTAATATGCTGATTTGCTGCTCAAGAAAAAAAAATATTATTATAATTTTGGAAACAGTTGTGCAGCTTAATATTTTTGTGGAATCTGTGATACATTTTTGTCAGGATTTTTTGATGAATAGAAAGTTCAAAAGAGCAGAACTTATTTGAAATAGGCATATTTTATGTGTCCTTGATTAATAAAAGTATTAATTTATTCTTTTAAAAAAATCTTACTGACTTCAAACTTTTGAATAGTAGTAAATATTGTTCAAATTGAAGACAAAAATCGGTTAAAAAATAATTGCAAGTTGATTATGGGAATTATTTGAGTGTTATTTGTTTGCAGATGTCACTTAGTTTGATATTTTGCTTTTAATGCAATGCGTATATTGTTAAACGTGGTTAGAGTGTACTTAGGGGCCACTGTATGTCGTAAATACTGTTATTTTATGTGTTGGCATGACTTTTATATTTTATATGTGGTAAAAGTAGAAAAAGGGAGTGTTTTAGGCTTAAGGGAAACACTTAATCCGCAGTGAACTCAGAAGAATGTCAAGTCTTATGGAGAGTGAGATAGAGCAAACTTATGATTTGACATCTGTCCAGAAATAAAACAGAGTAGGTCATTTTCCATGGGGAGCCATTGTATTTACAGTGAGCTCAGTGTGTTACGGCCCGGCTCTGCTGTTATGAGGTGTAAAGGGAGCAGCTTTGCGTCTTTATCCCAGCGTGGCCTGCCTGCTTTTGTTTGTGTTTTTTTCTGTGGGCGGATTTGGGTGAATGTTTCCAAGTGGGGTCCTGGTGTTTTAGGAGGCTGTGTTCCTTGCCAAGCATCTCCTTGATCTTGCCGTTAAAGAGTGAGCTGTGCTCTTAAGCTCTCGCTTGTGTCCAGATGCCCACTCTCCCACCCGTCTCCAAAACCAGCCTGGCGCCTTGGCACAGGCTGAGGGTTTCCTTACTCTGCTGTTTAAACCTATTCTTCCTTTAATACAGCTGTAGAAGTCTACACATTACACTAGAGAATAAGTCATTTCTTGATATTCTTACCTGTTTTTTGCTACACATACACGAGTGTTGAGAACAACAAGAGCATTCAAATGCATGAGTGAATGTCCTATGTTATCATTACAAACTACAGGAGTCACTCCTGAACTTGTGATGCCACATTTTGGTCTCATGGCTGCAAACAAGAAATTTGGACATTTAAAAGTATAGGCTATTTTTGACAAAGTGATATTAGACTGGAGACCTATTACTGTGTCGTGACAGAGGGACCTTGTTTTGCCTTTAATATCAATACTTTATTCACCAAGGTCGCAATAAATTGACCAAAAGTGATAAAGACATTTTATTATGTTTAATATTTCTATTTTAAGCAATAATTTGGATATAATATTTTAAATAAAAGCAGTTGTTTATTTTCTGTTCATCAAGAATCATGAATAAATATATCATGATTTCCACAAAATATTAAGCAGCACAACTGTTTTTAATATTGTTAGTAATAAGAAACCTTGAGCACCAAATCAGCTTATTAGAATGATTTTTGAAGAATCGTGTGACACTCCAAGACTGGAGTAATGCTGCTGGAAATTCAGCTTTGCCATCACAGGAAATATATATATATATATATATATATATATATATATATATATATATATATATATATATATATATATATATTTTATTACATTTTAAAATATATTTATATAGAAAGCAGTTATTTTAAATTGTAATGATTTTTTTACACGTTTAATGTTTTTAACTGTATTTATGATCAAAAACATGCAGCCTTGTAATTATATATATATTATAATTTAAAAATTAAAATATAATTGTTAATTTTTATAAGTGTTTTAATTATAATAATGTTTAATGATATTACTGTTGCTTTTATTTACAACTGCTTTTGACAGTGTGTTCGCCCTCTCTCAGCATTCTTTCATCTTTAGTGTATTAGTAGTCATTTCATTTTTCATGTGTTCTCCCGTGAATCTTTAGGAGTTCTGCCTGTGCACAGATCCTCTTCGGCACTTCCTGAATATTCACAAGTGCATCATAACAATCAGACAACCCGTCATTAGCTTGATTACTGAAGCTAATGAGCTGTTAATTATCTCTTCATCCATCATCTCCCATTGTCTGTCACACAGCATTTAATGTTGCTCAAGCAATAACAGTGACTGACTGGAAGCAATGCTGACCTTTGAACCAGTCACAATTTTCAGAATTTCTGAATTATTATATTATTATTATTTTATTTTCAGTGACATTTTTACCTTTGTGAGGGCTTTTTTTTTTTTTTACAGTTTTATCCATTAATGTTAAATACTTATATATGGTCATTTAATATAAATTAATTAATAAATAAACAATTACTGCTAACCTATAAAACCAAATTACATTCAATTACAAAATGCATTTTAAATTTGACATTTTATCAGAAGTACAGGGAATTCTTCCCTCAGTGGTTTTAGACCAGATTTCTTTAATTGTTATGTATTGTTTATTAAAAACCATTTTATATTAGCTAAACATTCAACAACACTTAGTATGCGTCTAAGACGAAGGATCTTGCTCATTTTGTCATTTGTTTTTTAACATATTAAATGCCGTTTGCATTTGCCATGTCCTAGTGTGACTGAGCTGCCTTGCCATCATTTTCATCTATCTTATTATATTGTGTTCACTTCCTCTAGTTGAAGTGTGCTCCTGTTTTTGTGTTTCTATCTACGCAGTTGGACATTTGGCTAGCAGATGAGTCATGTGACCTGACCTTTGAGAGCTGTGCTGACATTAGGCTTACGGCAGAGAGAATAGGACTGTTGAAATGTGACTACACTTTGACGATCTGGCAGATGATTAAAATGCTTTCTCTCACCTTTTTTCACCTGTCTATTCTCTCTTTGTTTCCTCTTTGCGGTTACCATGCTGATGTCCTCCATAGGAAGGCAAGACCACAATGTTATTTTTATCTTTTCAGTACTAAAATATCTTCTTTACATTTATGTTATTTAGTCACATGCTAATGTGAAGTTTCAAATAGTTAGTGCTATTAAAGACATAGTTTACTCCAGGGTTATTATTGTTAACTAAAAAAAAATTGTATAAAGAATAAAACACAACAATTTTACTGAAACTAAAATGTAAACAGAAAATATAAAATAAAATCTAATTCAAAATGTTAACAAAAACTATAATAGGATATCAATGATATTAAAATAACACTGGTTTACCCAAAATTTAAAATTCTGTTAGAAGGGAATGAATAGAGATGGTCAGAAAGACCAAGAAACAGCGATTAATCAGTGGGATGCCCATGTTGCAGTGCAGCGTGGGTAGTTAGCCAGGCGACTGCCCTTTACACTCATTCACAACACACACACACACACACACACATACACATACTATAGAAAACAA